TCATGCTATGTAGCTCAGGCTGATCTCCAACTCTTAGCTTCAAGAGATCCTCCAGCCTCAGTTTCCTGAGTAGCTGCGACTTCAGTCACTTGCAAACATGCTTGGCCCCAACAAACATTTATTTACTTATTTATTATTATTACTTTTGTTTGAGTCAGAGACTCACTCTGTCACCCAAGCTGGAGTGCAGTGGCATGCTCACGGTCACCACAGCCTCAACCTGCTGGGTTCAGGCAATCCTTCCACCTCAGCCATCCAATGAGCTGGAACTACAGTCGCAAGCTACTATGCCTGGCTAATTTATTTATTTATTTATTTATTTATTTTGTTTTGAGTTGGAGTCTCACTCTGTTGCCCAGACTGGAGTGCAGTGGCCACTCCCGGCCACCGCAGCCTCAACCTGCTAGGCTCCGGCGATCTTTCCGCTCAGCCTTCCAAGTAGCTGGAACTACAGACGCGCGCTACCATGCCCGGCTGATTTTTGATTTATTGTAGAGATGAGGTCTCGCCAAGTTGCCCAGGTGGGTCACGAACCCACAGCCTCAGGCAATCCACTCACCTCGACCTCCCAAAGCACTGGGATTACAGGCTGAGCCACCGAGCCCGGCCTTTTTTTTATTTATTGTAGAGACTGAGAAGACAACAATAGATTTAGGTTAAGAGCATGCTATTGAGAGACCCAAGAAACCAAGAAACTTATTTGCTGTAAAAGTAGTGTTTAGTTCACTATATTTCATATATCCCCACCTCATGTTTACTATATATTTTGTGTATTCCCACCTCATGTATTTTATGAAATCTTAGTACTTTAAATTCTACCTCAAATGAAATCTTAGTACTTTAAATCCTACCTCAGACCCCGTAGAATTAGGCATATGTCGGGTGCCGGGTCGTGACCAATAATGGCGTAAGCAGTGTTTGTATTTAGTACTCTTGGGTTAAGCATTGTCAGCCCCAAATTAGTAGGCTAACTTATGCTTTTACAACGGGATGTAAATGATAAAGCGATAAGCCCCTTTCAGACATTCCTACAAGATGGCAGCAGACTCAGAGGCGCCAGCTGCTCTCTATCACCGGTTTTTATCCCAGTGAT